AACCCGCCACCTTAGGTGTACGTGGCTGACGCCTTAGCCGGTTGAGCTATAGGCGCCGAGCCAGCAAAGATATTTATATCCATGTATCTCATGAGGCCAATGACCTTAATAATAGGATAGGAGTTACTTCAAGTCCATTGGTTGTAATTCCTGAATCCATCATCATCACACAAGGGCTAACCTGCCTTCCAAACACCATATGTTCAAGTGCCAGAAATATGACTCCTCTGCCTGTCCCCTGTAAGGTATAAGGATGGGCACTGCCAATACCTGCCTTGGTGATTCTTTCGTTCCTCGGCTTCATGGACTGACTAATTCCTAGGATAACTACACATTTTTTGTTTTGGTGGAGGACTCAGACAAGCTTTCCCTACCCAGTCTAGAGTGCAGTGCCATCATTGTACTCACTGCAATCTCAAACTCCTGGCCTTAAGCAATCCTCCTCTCTCAGGCTCCCAAGTAAATGGGATTACATGTGCACATCACCTCGCTCAGATAATTTTTCTATTTTTGGCAGAGATGGGGTCTCACAATGCTGGCTCAGGCTGGTCTAACAAGTAACCAGATGATGTGTCAAGGACCACAGTTTGAGAACCTCTGGTCTACATTTATCATTGGTCCTCTGTACCTCTTCAGACCAGTTCCTACAATAAAGAAATGTTTGGTGTTGACTAAAATATATGAGTAAGTCTACTATACTACTATTTACAGAAGTAAAAAACCACATGACTCAGCACCCACAGCTTAGTGGTTAGGGCACCAGCCACATACACCAGGACTGGTGGGTTCGAACCCAGCTGGGGCCTGCAAAACAATGACAACAACAACAACAACAACAACAAAAAAAAAAAATAGCTGGGAGTTGTGACAAATACCTGTAGTCCCAGCTACTTGGGAGGCTGAGGCAAGAGATCGCTTGAGCCCAAAAGTTTGAGGATGCTGTGAGCTATGACACCATGGTACTCTACCAAGGGCAACATAGTGAGACTCTGTCTCAAAAAAAACAAAACAAAACAAAACAAAAACAAAAAAACAGAGTGGTGCCTGTGGCTCAGTGGGTAGGGCGCCGGCCCCATATACCAAGGGTGGCAGGTTCAAACCTAGCCCCGGCCAAATTACAACAACAACAACAAAAAAAATAGCTGGGCGTTGTGGCAGGCGCCTATAGTCCCAGCAACTCGGGAGGCTGAGGCAAGAGAATCGCCTAAGCCCAGGAATTGGAAGTTGCTGTGAGCTTTTACACCACAGCACTCTACTGAGGGTGATAAAGTGAGACTCTGTGTCTAAAAAATTAATTAATTCATTACTTAAAAAACAATAAATGAATAGCCCCAAATGGGGAATGATTAAGCAAACAAGGAAAAAGAAAGAATTCCTTATCAGGGAAAGATGACAACTAAAGATTAATAAAAATGCAAAAGCAAAGGCTTACGATAAACACAGAAGGGCGGCGCCTGTGGCTCAAAGGAATACGGTTCTGGCCCCATATGCTGGAGGTGGTGGGTTCAAACCCAGCCCTGGCCAAAAACTGCCAAAAAAAAAAAAGATAAACACAAAAAATACCAAAACAAAACAAAACAAAACAAAACCCCTACAAGCAGCTAAGGGTACCTGTAAGCAAGTCCTTGTACTGGCTGAGACTGCCTATAAACACTGGTGTCCTATAGTATACTGTAAGCTTGTTTCACGGCTAAACCCCCCACCTATGGAAAACTACAACATCATCAACATAACACGGGTCACATAAAGACAGCTGGTGGATATACTGCTCGTGTCTAAGATGTTTAACCTGGCTTGGCGCCTGTAGCACAGTGGTTAGGGCGCCAGCCACATACACCAAGGGTGGCAGGTTAGAATCCAGACCTGGCCAGCTAAACAGTGACAACTGCAGCAAAAAATAGCCAGACACTGTGGCAGGAGCCTGTTATTCTCAGCTACTCTGAAGGCGGAGGCAAGAAAATCGCTTAAGCCCAAGAGTTTGAGGTTGCTGTGAGCTATAACGTCACAACACTTATGGAGGGCAACATAGTGAGAGTCTGCTTAAAAAAATAACAAAATGTTTAACGTGTGCACATACAATGATGCTGGAGAAGACTCCACATCATTTGCTAAAAGGAAAGTTTCAAGGCACCACAGGCAGTCAGCACAGCTTTTACTCCCCCAGAGCAGTCCTGTGCCACCAAGGGCCAACCCCCTGTGTAAGGAACCTTTAATAAACTCTTTAATTTTCCAAAATTCATCCGAATCATTCTTTCGTCTCTAGATACTATCACAGTTTAGGTAGTTGTATAGCATCCCAGGATTTTCCCAAAGCAACTATATACTATACTAAATGCAACCACGAAGAAGTAAATACAAGTTAAATAATGCTACAGAAACATAGATGAATACATACTAAATAACGGGGAAAAGTAACAAAAAAGTGGACAGGTATCAATTTACACTATGTTAAATTTATATTAAATATATACACACATGGAATAATGAAAAAAGAAATTTTGAAAAAATTAGTTTTTGAGTTGAAGATTATAAGAACTCAAGATTTTTGGTTGTTTGAAGTTTCATCACAAAATAGCTTAAGGATTATTTTATATATGACAAACACTAAATAATTAGATAGCATTATTTATTAATATTAATAAAATTATTTTCAAAATAATTATTGATTAAATTTTTAAAGTTAAAGTATTTTAATATTTAATATATTGTCATAATATGACAATACTATTATCTCTTGAATAGAACAACAGTATAGAGGATATATCTATAAATTAGCTGTTAATGTCCACAAAATTGGTGTTACATAGCAATATTAAGAAGCTGACACAGAAACAGCTGCAAAGACACAAACACATGCAGAATCATAACGTACCTGCCACAGGAGGAACAAGGCCGAGAAAACGCACTGTTGCATATTCTCCGTTAACTTCAACTCTTTGACCAATGACATCTGATGTCAAAGTGTCATTAGCTATAAGATAGCCAGAATCCAGAGTGTGAGATCTAGGAAGAAAAATACAACATTGCCAAGTAACTCCTCTGAAGGATTCTTTTTTAAACCTCACATAGACAGTCACCAGAACAATGCTTCTGACCAACTCAGTCTTCATACTTCACATTTTGGTGAAGAACTTGATGTGTTAGATGCCATATTTATATAATTCAATTTCACACTGTTTAGATCTTGATAATCTAACCTATTTTAAAAACCTAGTTTGGCTCCAATTAGTTATCATGTGACTTATCAATTCTGTCATTTGTTGAAAGGGGTGGGAAGGGAAGGGGACCAGAAGGGAGGGGAAGAAAAGGGATAGAGAAAAGGAAAAGGAAATGGGAACAGGAAGGAAGAACAAACCCACAGATACAGGAGGCTACATATATAATGAATAACAGAAAAATACCGAACTGTGATGAAAACACAAAACCCTGGAAATAAAGAGGAAGTCTCCAAAAGGCGCCTGAGAGAAAAGTATGGCCTAGATAGGGATGGTGACCAGATCTGACTCCTGCTTCACAGGAAGACAGAGGACTGCGGAATGTGTTCAATGACACCCTGCAGTCATTATCCAAACAGGAGGAAACGCCACATGACAAACAAGTTGGTTTCTTTAAGAAATGAGATGAAAGGAGTGGCTGAGTACAGTGCCTCACCCTTGTAATCCTAGCACTTTAGGGGGGCCACAGCAGGAGGATCGCTTGAGGACTACAGTTCAAGACTAGCCTAGGCAACATAGTGAGACCCCCCATCTCACAAGCCTGTGTTCAGATGCAGAGTTCTAGCCCCCAAGAATAATAAAATGACTACAGAACTCAATTCCTACAAGAAATTAGTCATGATTCTGTGAACTAGAGGGTCTGGTGGTTATCTAAGCTGAGAAACTCACAAGGCCCCACGACTAGTCTGAACCTCAGGCTAGAGGTTAGCCATAGGGTACTATAACACCTGATAAATTAGGCTATCAGTGAGAATGACTTGGTAAGAACAGGGCAATGGTCAACAGCTAGTAAAACCCAGGGGTATGCCAGGCTTAGTGACACACACCAGTCGTCCTAGCTACTTGGGAGGCTGAGGAACAAGGAGTGCTTGAGCCCAGGAGTTCAAGGCTGCAGGCTATGATCATGTCTAGGAATAGCCACTGAACTTCAATCTAGGAAACATAGCAAGACCTGGTCTCTAAAAAAAGAAAAAAGGCAAAACAAAACCACCCAGGGGCATATAGCAGGAATAAGGAATGAAGGCACTAGAAAGCTATTCTCATTATTACTCCAATGTCTAGAAATAATCTATGAATTATGAAGTTCCTTCACAATCTCAATCCTATTTACCCATCAGTTACATTTTTTTTCATCTTTACCCATATGCTGTGCCTACAGGATCAATGAGATCATTAGATACAAAGTATCTAAATTCAGTAATTAATTAGCTGTCAATTTCTTTTCTTTTCTTTCTCTTTTTCTTTTTCTTTTGAGAAAGAGACTTACTCTGTCACCCAGGCTGGTGTGCACCCTGTAAACATGAGCTCTTGGGATCAAGCAATCCTCCCACCTCAGCCTCCCGAGTAGCTGGAACTACAGGGCCGTCACCACACCATGCTAACAAAGTCACTGTTTTTAAAGATCAGTCTCTTAACTTTTCTAACCATTTGTTTCTTGATACTGTGCTCATCTGACATGTAGAGATTGCATCCAGTTGTTTTAGTGACCTGCACCTTAGTTCCAAAGCCTTTACTCTCTTCCTCTGGTTGGTCACCCAATGGGTTTCTGATTCCTGTTGTTGGATCTACCTGATAGCAGTTGCTAGCCCACCATGGACCTCCACTGCTAACACCACCATTCTGATCACCTTCTTTTTTTTTTTTTTTTT